CCTATGTTGAAAATTCTGGTTGCTATTGCAACACATAGACTGAAAATATGGCAAATTTTACACATAAACTGAATCCAGTGATAACTCAAAAAGTACTGGAAATATTTTTATGAAACTTAACATATGGGTAGATGGCAGTCTTGAGATTATGCATGTCTTATCTGTTCTTCCTATTTTGAAAAAATATCTTTAGCCTTGGCAACAAATAGGCTTAAAACATTGCAAATATAACAATATTTGTGATTAGTCAAAAAGAACTGAATTTTTTTTATGAAATTGCATCTTTAATTCAAGAATTATCTCCTGTTTAAGAATTTTGCTTTTAAAATGTTATATTTTGGTAACAGGGATGTTTCAAATATTAACTTTAGAGTGTCCTTCAGTCCGTCTGTCTGTCTGTTCATAAAAACTGTTTCCTGTGATCACTTTTAAAGAACTTTTCCAACAAATTTACTTAAAATAGAGAAAAATTGAAACATTAGTGAATGGCCAATGGCCCTTCAGAATGTTGATGGGGTTCTAACCGGTAGGGGACTTATGGATTGCTTGCAATACTATGATAATTCCTTGTTTAATTATCCATTACGGAGCATATTTAAATTTAACCTTATTAATTCTATAAATTTGATTTTAAGGGGTATTAATTTTCACTTACAGTTAAATACTGGTTAATAAAAATATGATTACAATAAATGAAAAAAACATTTTAATTTTAAGGTTTAACATGATAATCACCTAAAATGTTAAAACTGCTGATTTTAAAATTTACTTATTTATTTTCATGAATAGGCCATATATATATTTTCCCAATTTTTTTTTCATACAGCAGCATAACAATGGATGCCCCCCACTTGATATACAATTATCCAATAAACCATTTAGGTGTCACCTTCCCTGGCCAGCCTGGTCATATGGTCTAGTGCACTAGAAGTGCACTTCTAGTGCACTTCTAGTTCAGCTCTAGTGCACTAGAAGTGCACAAGGGTGGGAAGTTTAGTGTGAACTCAACTGTATAACTAGGTCTATTATATTATTGATAATTTTAGTCTGTACACCGACTGAGTTCTGCCTCAGTTTGAGAGGAAAATAATAAACTAAACAACAATGCTTAGTAAGGGAGGAAGTATCTTGAAACATAACTGGAACACGTGTTATATCCTTATAATGACTGACACCTTGTCAACCATTTTCATAGCGATTCCCCACCTTACAAATTCATGAAAACGTGACTTATTTGTGTTTTGCTCAGAACAGGTACGTTAGAGCTATTAATTACAGAAAGTCATTGTGAACTGAACTCGGTAGTAGTGATCCATTTAATTTAATGTGTTCCATGCATTGCATAACTTTGTTTCTGTTCTGCACCTTGAATATCTAACTTTTCGAAAAACATAACATTTTGGCGTAAACAATCGAGTTACACGTACCTGCTCGGAAACATTTGTTCGCGGTAGAACTAAAACTATTCGACTTTGTCGCATTTGCACGGACACACGTTTTTAAATGTAAATAACCGTGTCAAAAATCATGATTGACCTCGAATAAGTGGCATCCTGTATTATGCCATGCATTAATGTGTATGATTAAATGGTCGGGCCTCATCCAAATTTCGAACATAAATAATGGAATCTACACGGCAGCCATAGGTGACACCTTCGCGATTACATTTATTACGCTATAGTCGTTGAAAGGATATCACACTTTATTAGTTCTCTTTAAAATGTATATATATCTCGGTCTTAACACTTGACCATGTCTATCTTAACTTCTATAGCGATTACTTATAAAAATCATTGACTACGCTCCTCCTAATACGTCAAATTAATATCGCCTTGCGCTCAACATCGAACCTTTTGCTCCATCTCTCGCCCTTTCGCTCCACTACTTTCGAAAAATATCGATTTAGAAATTTAAGAAATCCTTCAGGAGTAATTTATTTTGCACGAAGGACAAGTTCTTATTACGGGTTGATAATTTACTAGTACACTTTTTCAAGAAATCCGAAAGGTATGGCATTTCTATGGTTGGGAAGTTCAATTTTCTACAAATCATCGTTCGCTTCGTCAGGGAGAAAAGTTCTCCCGGGCTTAATATAATTTTCTTTTTGTAACAGCTTAGATCATTGGAAGCCTAAATCAATCCTACACGGAACTACATTTTTCGTTTTTCGAAAAAATACAACTTAAATAAATAACGAGACAAAAACATAAACAATACTTACAATTAGGCGTTTAAATCGGCCTTCCGCTCTATCTCGGAAATGCCGTTCGCTCGTTTTACCGTACACCACAATTTTGAAGTGGAGCGACAGTTTGCCGGGCGTGTATATACGACTTTACATCTGAACAGTTTACAGCTGCATGCTCTATATACGACTTTACAGTTGTACAGTTTATAGCTGCATGCCCTATATGCGACTTTACATCAGTACAGTTTATAGCTGCATGCCCAATTTGCGACATTACATCTGTACAATTTATGGCTGCATCCTCTATATAATTATGACTTTACATCTGTACAGTTTATAGCTGCATGCTCTATATACGACTTTACATCTGTACAGTTTATAGCTGCATGCTCTATATACGACTTTACATCTGTACAGTTTATAGCTGCATGCTCTATATACGACTTTACATCTGTACAGTTTATAGCTGCATGCTCTATATACGACTTTACATCTGTACAGTTTATAGCTGCATGCTCTATATACGACTTTTCACCTGTACAGTTTAAAGCTGCATGCCCTATATACGACTTTACAACTGTACAGTTTATATCTGCATGTTCTATGTACGACTTTTCATCTGTACAGTTTATAGCTGTATGTTCTATATACGACTTTATATCTGTACAGTTTATAGCTGCATAATCTATATACGACTTTACAGCTGTACAGTTTATAGCTGCATGCCCTATATGCGACTTTACATCTCTACAGTTTATGGCTACATGATCTATATACGACTTTACATCTGTACAGTTTATAGCTGCATGTTCTATTTACGAATTTACATCTGTACAGTTTATATCTGTATGTTCTATATACGACTTTACATCTGTACAGTTTAAAGCTGCATGCCCTATATACGACTTTACATCTGTGCAGTTAATAGCTGCATGCCCCTATATACGCCTTTACAGCTGTCCAGTTTATAGCTGCATGCTCTTTATACGACATTACATCTGAACAGTTTATAGCTGCATGCTCTATATACGACTTAACACATGTACAGTTTATAGCTGCAAGCCCTATATACGAATTTACATCCGTACAGTTTATAGCTGCATCGTCTATATACGACTTTTCATCTAAACAGTTTACAGCTGCATGATTTATATACGACTTTACAGCTGTCCAGTTTATAGCTGCATGCTCTATATACGACTTTACAATTGTAAATTTTATAGCTGCATGCTCTATATACGACTTTATATCTGTACAGCTTATAGCTGCATGCTCTATATACGACTTTACATCTGTACAGTTTATAGCTGCATGCTCTACATACGACTTTACAGCTGTACAGTTTATAGCTGCATGCTCTACATACGACTTTACATCTGTGCAGTTTATAGCTGCATGCTCTACATACGACTTTACACCTGAACAGTTTATAGCTGCATGCTCTATTTACGATTTCACATCTGTACAGTTTATAGCTGCATGCTCTACATACGACTTTACACCTGTACAGTTTATAGATGCATGCTCTATTTACGATTTCACATCTGTACAGTTTATAGCTGCATGCTCTACATACGACTTTACACCTGTACAGTTTATAGATGCATGTATATATACTACTTGACACTTGAACAGTTTATAGCTGCATGCTCTATATACGAATTTACATCTGTACAGTTTATAGCTGCATGCTCTATTTACGATTTCACATCTGTACAGTTTATAGCTGCATGCTCTACATACGACTTTACACCTGTACAGTTTATAGATGCATGTATATATACTACTTGACACTTGAACAGTTTATAGCTGCATGCTCTATATACGAATTTACATCTGTACAGTTTATAGCTGCATGTTCTATATACTACTTTACACTGTGCAGTTTATAGCTGCATGTTCTATATTCTACTTTACACATGTATAGTTTATAACTGCACGCTCCTTATAGAATTCTACATCTGTACTGTCTATAGCTGTATGCTCTTTATATGACTTTACATCTGTACAGTTTTATAGCTGCATGCTCTTAATAAAATTTTACATCTATGCAGTTGCCATTGACAGTTTAGGGCTTGTTGCTGGGCCCTGAATACCTAATTAGTTTTTCCAGAGCTGATGTGCAGTATCTGTGGCATCTGTCTATATCATTGCAGGAAACTTTGTCTTTAACTTAGTCAAGGAAAATATTAACTTCCACAACACATAAAAGATCACATATCTAAAATCTGAAGTAAATACATTAAGATGTCAAAGTATGATTAAAAACAAATATTACTGCATAATACTTATATATTACATGCTTTTCGGTGGTTTATAGAAATATATATGTGAAATATAAAACTTTATTTTTACTGTTTGAAACAGTAAAAATAATAAATTTGATACTTTTTGCTGTTTTGAATTTAAGCCTGTGACGTTGTTTCAGTGAAATACAAGGTTGCACAGTACTGGAAACTAATTTAATGATGTGATGTCATTATTATTTGGCGCTCTTTTTATTTAGTATTAGGATTAAATGTCTTTTTAAACGTTTCTTTGCATATAATAAAAGAAAATTTGTTCAGTTTAGTGTAAGATTGAAATATATTTCATCTCATAAACACCAAAAGTTCATTTTTCACTTGTGGCTGCACCACTCGTGAAATGTACCTTTTTGTGCTCTCAGTGACTTTTGGTGTTCACTCAGTGAAATATATTCCTATCTTACACTGAACTAAACAAATATCCTCTAGATAAGCAGCAATCGGTGAATCATAGGTTAAGACAGCATTCTATATACTTTTAGAGCTAAAAATTACAAACAAATGTCTTGATTTTATTTTTGTTTTATTTTGTAGATTTTTTCATATATAGAGACTAGCATATAAAGAGTAACATAAATAGATAATAATCTAACCTAACGGAGAAACTGGCAAATGGCAAACTATGAAATAATAAATGCAAAAAAATAAACTTATTCTGTGACCTGTTTTAAAAGATATCTATTATAATCTAAAAAATTTATCCACTATACACGTAAGTGTACAAAAACAATACATAAATGTAAAAAAATGAAAAAAAAAATCTTTTAAAATTTCTGAATTCATCAAAAATTCTAGAAACAAATTTAAAAATTAGATATACTGACAACAGATATGTATTGGCTGCCATAAACGCCAGTTTCTATAAATTTAAAATATTTTCAACACTTTAAGACAAAGTCTATTCTATACAGCATAGAAATACTCATATATGCAATTTTACCACTCATAAATATATTCATATATTACAAATATACACTTTTCTCTAGTACTTGTAATTATTGAAATTTTGTAACGAGTATTTTCTAAAATTTCATTTCTTGATGACCTATACTTTGTAGTAAAGGAGTGAAAACTGATATGCACTACTGTAATGTATCCATTGAAATAAACTGGCAGTGAAAAAGAGAAAGATAAACTAAAAAATTTCAAGCCAAAGTTATAAATGTTTACACGTTAAGCTTAAAACATTCTGTCCCTGAGAAATATCCCTTTTAAAACTAAACTGAACAGATGTATGTAAATATCGTATTTTTATTTCAATAAAATTTTTAATTGGCATAATGTTATAACTGTGCAGAATATTTGTTTTCCTGTTTTTTTTATAATATGTAAGGAAGGGTTTTGTAGATATTTATGCTAGACACAAGGTTGTGTCATAATTTAATTCTAAATGTAGACTGGGCGAGTGCAAGACTGAACAAAGCAGATTCTCGGAGAATAAAGAAAGTAAAATTTTCTACCTATTTGAAAGAAGCAAAGAAAGCAAGGCAGTAAGTTATAGGGTAGGTCATCAGGAAAGCTTGGAAACTAACTTCTCCCTCACTTACCCCAAATACACCCTTCCCAAATGGACATTAAATAGCAATAAATAATAATTTAATACATATACAGAAATTTCTAACAGCACAAAGGATGAGAGCACAAACCATATCATTTCAATTCAACTTTTTCACTCCACATTCTTTTTTTACATGATAAATTAAATCTATTTAAAGACCCTCTATGGCCAATATCAACACATATGGCATCATAAATAACCTAATACAATGACAGTACATGTATAAAATTAAGGCTTGATCTTTTTGCAGCTTAATCTGCCAGAACACAGTAAGTTTGAATATGTTATAGCTGCATATGTTATTTCCTGACAATAAAATTACAATGATAAGTTATAGGTCACGATGGGTCTTTAAAACATATACTAAACCAAAATCTTCTCCACTTTGGCAGTCAATCCTTCAGACACTCCAGACATTCTTAACTGATACAGCAAAGCTAGTCTAATAGTTTCTTCTATATTCCTGGTATGTTTACAGTGTATCCACTACTGACAGTGTTAATATTCACTAAAACTTCATCAATTTATCTACCTACATAACATCTATATGGAAAGTTTAGCTTTCCCAATATGGGGAACTTAAATATGTCTTTTTTCGAGATAATAAATATAGAACTATTGTAGAGTTAGACCGAGTCGCTAATCTCATTATGAGAGCGACAGAAGTCCACAAATTGCGAGCATTACAACAAACTAATTCCATTTCCAGCATCGCTAGGACGGTCTGGATGGAGAATGTTTATCATTTATCACAGATAAGGCTTTTAAGATGGGATTAAAAAACTAGTCCAAGTTTCATCTTGGTGTATGTCGGTTTACGGGCACCTGTTGCTGCTGATGATGATGCTGTTGCTGGGAGTCTTGGAGCAAATGTTCGAGCACCAACGGGACTTTTTCTAGCCGAGATTTAACAAATTCTGGCAGTACATCAGTTTTTTGAAACCTGGAAAATAGAGAAAAATGTTTTTTGATATATGTACAACTGAATATATAAAAATACAAAAATCTAAACAGTTTCTCAAACATTACATGTTATAACTTTAGATACTTATTTCTTAATTTGTAATCTGGTCAAAAGTTCAGGAACAATTATACAAAAATAAGCTCCAGCCTTTTTGAACACACATTTTCAGAAGTTAATAATCATTCATCAACTTAACAATATTCATACTACATGTTCCTTTTCTTTTAAAAATTGGGTGCAATACTTATTTCTTATTATCCTTTTCGAAACTTAAAAGTATTCCAATTTCAAAACTTCGAAGTATTAAATCTATTCATTACCTGCACAGTTTTCCACTTTGATCTATATATTTGATAGTTGTTGTTGTAGATTTCACCCCAAGTTGTGTGCCGTCAAAAAACTTCACCCAAATCTCACCATTTGCATGCTGTAAAAAGAATACAAAATTTTTTTCTAAAAAAATGTTTTCCCTTATATAAAGTTATATATAATCTTATCAAAAACTAAGTGTTCTATTCTAACTTGGATAAAAGGTAAAACAACTTATTAAAATTTAAATTTTTTACAGACAATCCATCAATTCACAGAAACAGAAAACAAATGCATGTTTCTTAGTATCAATTCCAGGAATATCTTTAAAAAGAAAAATCTAGAACTAATTTACCTGTGACGCCCAGCCTATCTCGTGCACCATCACTTGTCGGAGCACATCTTTGCCATTCAGTTTGCGTACATGACTGCTGGTGGGCGAGGTATTCGCCTGGGCACCTCCCATTACTGTTGACTGTGACCTCATTGTATTGTCATGACAACTGTCAGATTTCATCTTCTCCCCGCAATCCGTCACTGTACTCACAACTGTTCCATCGAATGATGTCATCTAAAAATAGAAACACAATGTTAACATTAAAATTTCAAACAAATAAAAAATCTTACCATACCTATAACATACCGGTATTCATGAAAATAAGCTTTAGCAATGAAAGTCCTCGCAGCCTTTATCATAACATTTGCAATATGAACTCTCTATCACTAAAAACAATTTGACTAATTAAGACCATAAGGGCAGAGTCTAGCCACTCCGTCTATTAGTGCTGATGACGGGCAAGATAAAAAATACTGTTGGTTTCCTAATTATATGACTTGTATTGAAAATAGAAAGATGTCATTTTTCAATGTTGGTGCAAAAAAGGTACTTACTGTAGGGGGTCTGTTGCTGTCAGTAGATTTATTACTTGTATTGTGCTCATCACTTCCTGTACCAATGCTTGCCGTGCTAAACTTGCCGGAGTCATTAAGGTTACCAGAATTGGGGCGGCGACCTATTATTATGGGGAAGAGTTCTTCTTGTAGTGAACACCTCTCTTGTACTGCAGTAACAACCGTCTCCAGCTCTATACACTGTTGCCGACACTAAAACATAAGATCAGAGTAAACTTTAGGATATTTCATTCAAACCTCATTGTTGCTGCAATTCTAATGCCTCAACATTTAAAGGCAACCCCTCAGCCACAAAGGGGAGGCTATTTAGTTACTTAACTGTAAAAATATCAGGTATGACATTAAATTTAAGTCATATCACACACTGATATTGGGTCATATCATAAATCTTCTACATATAATACTCTAATAGATTATTACCATGTACTTACCTGTTTAACATATTCAAGAAGTTTCTGAGTCTCCTGCGTTAATCTTTGTTCCATATCTGGTGATTCCAGGACGAGTGACGTCCCGGTACGTTCAATAATTCTCATTCCACGACTGCTTGATGTAAATTTTGCACCTGCAAATTCAGAAAAATAAAAAGTGAAAAATATGCCAAAACATACAGTTTTCATTTTCTCATTGTAATAAGTTTGTTTGATAACAAAATGAAAATTTTCAACAGGTTTCATGCTATATGGAAGCTGTTTATAATATTTTGAGTACAATGTATATCAGATTTATAAATCAATTTTTACAGGCTATAATGATTATGTATCAATATTTTTGTTACATTTTTGTGATTTATTGATGGTGTTAACAGTAAAGAATATCGTTCTTATTAAAATGCATGTGCTTAGACTCATTTGAAAGGGTGCAAGGTGGTACATGTAAGGAAAATTTCACACAGTGGAAAGAATACAAAATGTGAAATATGGAATATATTATTGTATATAGAAGCATGCGTGATTAAAAAAATAAATATGTAGGCGAAAGGGGGTTTTGGTATCATATAAATATATAGTTACAAGGGAAAAAGAAAGTCGCAAAAACATTACTTTTAAATATAAGGATAACAAAAGGAAACACATAACATTTTTTCCCCAATCTCAATACTAGAGTATTGTATATGTAAATTAAAGAACAGATGCAATAGTCTGGCACTGAGATTTATTTATGTCATGTGTAAAAGGTGTAAAAGGTTATACAAGGCACACATAGAGAAACACAACACCACACTCATTGTGTATTGAAAACACTCACACATACCAATTAATGAACCATTTGCTAAAAATCAAAGCAATACATGTCAATCATAAAAATTGTGCTTTTGATGTTTGTATTGCATATATTGTGAATATTCTGTATAAAAAAATTTATCAAGCACATAAAAAAACCCCCAAACAACAACCATATCTCATTGTGCATTACAATAATGCAATCACACGTGTAATTAAAGTCACGTGTATCAACTTACTCCAACTTATAATATCCGAGTCATCGCACCCCTTTCTCGGCATCACACTTTTGTCAGGTTTATCTACATTATTTAATTGTTCATTTATAACACAGCCTTTACGAACTACATTTATAACATTAGAAATCTGCCACTGATGTTTTCAGATATTATCAATTAACAAAGCACAAGTAGCGTATCAAGTTGCTAAATATGTTAGTAAAGCAGAAAGAATTGCATATAACTTTGAAGAAAAAAAAATGAAGTTAAAAAAATAGAATATAAAGATTAACAGATGACTTACCATCATAAAACACAGATTCAAAGTCTGCATCCGGGCCATTTTCCATCAGCATACACTTGCATCTTTGAGTGTATAAAGTTACCTTCGGAGTCTTGGAACGCACTAACTTCACAAATCTGCAACACAAAACAATAACTATAGTGTAACCATACATATTCCTTCTACTTAAAGAACTTGAAACTTGAAATAACTTTTGTTAATTTTAAAGTCACACAAAAATTTACTATCTTTAGAAAAAAAATCCAATAAGTTTAACTTAATCTATTATAGCTTGAAAGAACATTTATCTGGTTGCTCTTACCTAGAAGCGTACTGGTATTTCTTCCAGTATTTTTCTGGAAGCTCATTAAATGCAAATGATTTAAGCGGCACTTTCGGCAATGCAATAGGCTGGTCCTCTGCCGGAACTCCTTTACCATTGTTAGGTTGATAAATGCTCACCTACAAACAGAACAAAGTTCATATATTATTATCTCACAAATAACAAACAGAAATCTGCAGAATATTTCAAAATAGATTTCTAAATCTTTTTTCTTATAAAGAAAACTTAAAATGTTCAAATTTGATAGAAAGTCCCCACTTAGTACAGTTTTAAATATAACCTAGAAAAAGAAAAACGCTTCTATTCCTAAATTATTAGCAAAAGTCTAATGTAAGAGTTTAAGAAGAAGTTTAAATTAAAGTTTAAATTAAAAATAAATCATGAAAATTTATATATTATATAACAGTTACATACCTGTAATCCATTTTGAGAAATGACAAACAATTCTACAACTTTCTCCTCTCTGTGTTTCTGCTTAACAAATTCCAGACAAACTTCCCCTGATTCCATGATATTCACAATAGCATTCCTTGTTCTTTGACGTATAGGTCGCAACCTCGCTGAATTAATTGGTGAACCTAACTCAGTTCCTTGTTTAGCACATGCCTGCTTTGATTTAACACAATCGTCTGTTGCTGAGCAACCGTTAGAGAAACCACTTGCACAATTATTAAAATTTTCATGACCGCTAGTTTTCGACGAACTTGGTTTTCGAAGCTTATCTCTGGTGTCATCAATGTCTAAATCGTCCACTGAATTACTTCGAGCATCCACAAGTTTATGCCTTGGTCGATCAAACTCTAATTCGTCTACAGAGTTACTTCTAGCATACATTTGTTTCTGAGAGAATTCTGTATTCTGTCTCAACTGTGAGTTGATAGGATACTCCATAGTGCCATGGTGGTAATAATGTTCATTGATGCTATTGGGCTGTGAATCACCTTCAAAATTAAGCACTTTTTTCGTATTTTGTAAACTAAATTCACTCCCTTCCAAAGACGAAGCATCCGAGACGGTGCTAATACATGTTGACCCCTGCTTTCTTAACATATCCTGTGCACTTGTGTCCGAATGGTCTCTCGGACTAACAACTTTTGCATCGTTACTATGTAAAGATGCGCTGCATGACCATCCTGAGGAATTTACCGGAGTCGGAACCCTTTCTTGATATTTCGTAGGATCAAACTGAGCTTGTGCTAAATTTAACCTAGGCACATCGAACGTCCTTTGACTATGTGATCTACTTTCATTATCACTAAGATTTGATTGTTTATTGCCACTGCAATATCCAGTGTCGCCATTTTTATATGCCATCCCTGACATATGATTCATTTTAGGTGTCCTATCAACAACCTGCGTGTTTCTGTCACTAGATGGCGTAGCAACCATTCTAGAATCTGGATTGCTTGTTTGGTCATGTTTTTTATCCACAAACTTGTCAGGAAACATTTTATTGCTGTAATTGTTCTGTGGTGTATTCCTATTCTCACTGAAAACATGAAATATTACCAACATAAAATTTTAAAGTAGTGATAAAGATAAGAACAAAACTTTACAAAGAAACAATGTAACAAGTGCATCATATTACCTTATTTTTTAATTATATTCTACATAAAAATTGAATTCACACACAAACAAATGTCGCAAATATATCTATTGTCAAATAGACTCATTCTCATATTATTAGGTAGTTTAACAAATGAAGAATTTCGAGCTGATTAATATTTGCAAAGTACAATTCCACTCAATTTCAACTCACTCATTTCGTAATCTAACAGGAGGCGACGGTGGATGTCTCATGGCTGGATTAGAAAGTACTGGCACCTCTGTCCTTGACCCTGCGTTACCAGAATAGTACCCATCAGCTGACATATCACTATCACCGCCCACACTGTTTTCACGATCTTCGGGAATCTTTGAACCTATGTGATGAATTGCTGGCATCGGTTTTGGTTTCGGTGCACCAGACATACGAGACATTATTCCGGTTGACATGGTTCCGCGACCACTATCAATTGACAGATTCTGGTGTCCCTTTGTGTACTCCGTTGAACTTTCTTTCAACATGAATGGATGCTTCATAACATCTGAAAACATAATTATCAACGTTAGGTAACACTTAACAAATAACTTCTTCAAAGCAAATAAAACTATGCAGTCTTAAATGATAATTTTCAGTGATAGTAATATTTATGGAAAAGTTTTATTTCAAAGTTAAATTTCAAGTTATGATATTTATCAATCCATTAGTCTTTTAAAAAAAAGTAACCTACCATATAAAGGTATTCGTTTAGTTGGAGTCTTCTGCAGAAGTTGATGGATCAAATCTATCGCCTCCGGGGAAAGGTTATTTGGCAAATCAAAATCTCCTTTAATAACACGGTTCAGCGTTGTTTTAACTGTATCTGTGTCAAAGGGTGGTGTACCAACTAGGAATGTGTAGAACATACAGCCTAATGACCAAACATCGGCCTCCAAACCATGAGCAGATCGACTTGCTACTTCCCTACAATATAACATACAATCTAATTTACAATAAACAATTTTTTTGTGCAACAAATCATTGTCACATACGACTGCAATGTTCTGATTTATAATAAGATCATTATTTTAATAGACCATCTAAAACATCCTTTGATGATAGAATTGTTTCACATAGAGAGACTATATATGTTTAAATTTAACAAGATTTATGATAGATATTTAAATCTGTCGTCATTAATATAGAAGAAGAGTTAAACTTACGGTGAAATGTAGTTTGGGGTTCCACACATAGTAAAATGTTTCTCCTCAGGTCCATTCAATCTTGTAGCTAAACCAAAATCAGCAATTTTCTGAAAAGAATAAACATTATATACAAAATAAATATATATTTAAAAAGATAAATAAGACCATTTTATCCGTATTTGCTCTTTGTACAAAAAAAATTGAAAAAGGTTCTCATAATTTAAATTTTGGAGATGAAAAAAAAAAATTAAATTTGTCCCTTTAAATTAAGTCAGAGCAAAAACTTCTGGGCAATTTTTTTTTTTTAATTTTACTTTTAAAATAAGCAAAGAACAAAACAATGTATTATTACAACAGCAACTGAGCTTACCACATCCATATCTTTAGTGAGCAGAAGATTAGCTAGTGTTAAATCTCTATGAAGGATTCCGTATGAGTGGAGATATAACATGCCCTCGAGGATCTGCCTCATAAAATGACGTGCTGGAAATAAAACAATACATATAATACAAGAAAATCAATCTAAATGAATATAACAAAACAGTACTTTTTCTTTCATAAAGCGAGTGAATGAAAAAAAAAGAAAATTTCCCAGAAAATTAAAGAATTATGAAAAGAAAAAAAAAATCTTAATATTTTGCACTAAAATCATAAATTCTACATTTCTAAACATACAGTCTTTGGTAATGTTTTAAACATTATATGTTATAATTATGATATCAACATATATAAAAAAAACCCATCTTTTTCTTAATGTTCACATCAAATCAATTCATTTCTGATCTCATTAGATCTGTATAAATAACACTCCAGAAAAAAATTAAAATAAAAAAATATATCAAAGAAATCTTTCAAAGTTCTTGTCCTTCGCCTGATTTGCTTCGAAACTGTTTTGACTTATTTTACTCAAAAATTTCCAACTTATATATCTATAGATGTAGAGAAACAGAGTGATATTGTTTTCACACTATCAGTTAGACTGCATGATCAAAGAGACTTTTAAAGCAATGTTTCAAATCAATGGTAGCTAGTAGCTGATTAAAGTGTGAAAACACAGGCAGAAAATCCAGTTCACCCAGAGAAATAGAAAATCATCACAGGTGATGATTATTGATTGAGTAATGAATTACATTAAAGGATTACTTCTAAAGTCACATGTACATACAATTACTCTGAGCACAAATAAAGATGTTAAAGCCATGTTTGATTACAAATAATCAAATCAATCCAAGAAATTGCTTTGTAAGTGAAGAAGTTCTAGATAGTGAACAATTTTTCACCAGTTTTCAAATTTAACTGATTAAAAAAAAAGAAACATTCAAACTTGCATTAACTATCATATGTGTTAAATTTGAAAGTGATAAAAATATAAATAAATCAAACTTTCAGTTTTTAAAATTTTTTTTAGACAGTGATCTGACACAGAAACAAAGATGATCAAAAAGATGGTCAATATCACATTGCAACATATATAAAATTCATATAAAATCTGATCATAACTTATGATTTTTTAAATCAATGTTAAATCAATGTAAATCAATGTTAAATCAATGTAAATCAATCAATGTAAATCAATGTTAAATCAATGTAAATCAATGTTAAATCAATGTAAATCAATGGTAAATCAATGTAAATCAATGTTAATGTACAATAGAATCATTACCTTCATCCTCGGCGAGAACTCTACAGTTGGATTTCAGATATCTTTGTAATTCACCATTATGACACATCTCCAGTATTAAGTACACATAGTTGTTGTCTTCAAAATAGTTGTACAACTGTAAACACACCAATAAAACCAACATTAAACATTTCATAAACAACAATGAAACAATTTAGCCATTTTATGTACATAAACAACAATACATTTGTAACGATGCAAATTATATATAATATTATAAAATATCTACATACAAGTAAATACTTGACTACTCGTTTTTATTTTGCCATTAACAAGTGATGGTACCTACACCAAAGCTTACTTTATAATTAAATTACATGTAATAATAAAACACTTTTCTTTTATCTGACCAAAAATCGTAATATAATTTTTTATATGTCAATAAATTTTTCAGTATTCATCTTAACGAAAATATTGTTCTATTTAAAGAGCACGTATTTTAATACCTAAACTAACCCAGTAATAAAAATCAATATTTCCCTCTCTCTAATAAAAGTCACTTTATGAAATTCGATACACAAATATCAGGTTTAATCCGAGTTATTTACAAAAGACCAACTATTCAAGTCATGTAAACATGCCCAGGAGATAAGGCTGAAATGAATTATCTATGTGAAATATTTACATATTTACATTACATTTATAAGGGTGCTGAATCTTTGAACAAGTCTGTGCAACATGAAAGTATGCCATGATATATCTACTGATTTTTACTACTGACTGGTTTAATTTAATATTTGATCAGAATTTAATCCTATTAAGGTCCAGTAAATTCTATTGAAGCAGTGCCTTATCTTTGATGTTTAATGAATAAGTGTGTAAAACCTGTTAAGACAGGTAAAAAGGGGAACCAGATTAAAATGGTATTTACAGATGGTGACAAAATAACATCTGAACCAGTCTATACAGATTCATGAATATTCGCAAAAGATAATCAGTTTATTGAAATACAATAATCTGATTGGATTATAGTGGATGCATGTTTACTACAGATACATTTATGACTGTGTGCACAGGTGTGATGACCCTAATCAGATTGTTATACCAGTAAACAGTTAGACTACCATTTTATTCCTGTTGAATACCTGTCAATAGACCACTGACAAACACATTGTGATCCATAACAATGTGTTTAACAAATTGTGGAGACTCCTATTGTTTGGTCTAAAGAATTAAGCCACTTGATACAACATGATATTTTACTATAAGACAATTCCATTACCTAATTTTAATTTACTACTATATCCTTGATTCATTTTTTTTTCATCTTACTTAATATAAATTAAAAAGGTATCATTTTTCATAATTTTGTAAAAAAAATTTTTTACATAAAATAAAACCCGGTTTATTTTAATCTCATAGATAATTCAAAATATGAATATATATTTTTTCATTAAAAATGCTCAAGTAACTAGATGGTCTTTTGTTTTCAAATCACAAATAAAAAAATTCACTTAATAAATTAAAGAAACAATGAACTTTAAACCAAGTACACTACACTTAATGCGCTGTGAAATAATATTAATAAACAGTATTAAAAGATTTTAGATTTAAAATATCATATAAACTTAATCTTTCAAGCAACAAAAGTGTACAAATTTGATTTTTCCCAATATGATCACATTAGTAAAGGTGTGTGGGTGTAAACGGTGCTAATTTAAATTCCGATATCCGAGCCATAGAAGATGTCCCTACATTTACAACTAATAATCAATATGTTATCTGGTGATGGTAGACAAGATCAGATCAATAACTACTTGAAGACATTGACTTGCTATAATTATATACCAATAAAATGTAAGATGTTTATATTAGGCCCTTAATTTGACCCGCCTATAAAACTGTTGAAAAAAAGAAAAGAATTAGTATAACTATATCATTTGCAAGGCTAAGTTATGATTTAGAAATTCATTTATCCTAAACAGTCCTTCACTGGATCATCAGACGTGTATATAATTGTAAATGAAAAAAGTCAACACAAAAACTGTTTTATGATAAAGAAAATCTGGTTTGTTTAATAACATTAACAACTTACCTCTAAAATAGATGGATGTTTAAGCCTAGAATGAATTTCAACCTCTTTCTTCACTCTCATCACCATCCCAGCTGCTTTCATTAACTTTTTATCAATCTGAAAAAAAAAATCATAATTTTTAATTTAAAAGAACTATGACATATATCATTGAGGTAATAAGAAAATAGCAAAAACTTTAGGAAACATCATTTGTGACTACATCAAATAAGGTTCACGTATAATAATAAATAGTGCATTTAAACCAAATTCAAATCAGTTTACTGTTTAGCACTCAATTGGCAGAAAATTCTATGTTTTTAAACACTGTATTGTCTCAATGTGCAAAAGGAAAGCACAATCTACTTAAGTCTTAAAATATGGTAATAGAAATCTTTTTTTCTGAAGAATCCTTCAAGGAGACATAACTTCATTTCATATTCAATAGAGACAGTTTTGACAATCCTAGATAACCTTTCCATAGATTAAAAATTCCACATGTCTGCTTGTAAATTTATACAAGTACAACTTAAAGAGTACTTGATGCAGCAGCAGGACAGGTAGAAAAATGTTGCCTGCATAATGGATTTAGAAGTAACTCTTCCTGCAGGCGAGTGGTTCTGAAAATATTTTCGATGCCTGCTTCCTGCTTATTACTGGCTGTGATGCACATGACAGTACAACCAATGCTACAGCATGAATACTAAAACTACCGCTTGTAGTTGAGAAATACTGTTACTCAATGATATACTTAGCATTGTCAGGGGTTTCATTATTATTCCGACAGGCTATAGTTCACATTTCTTTAAAATGTTAGTGTTACTTAAATACCCTCTTAATATGTCTTTAAAGTTTAAGAAAACAACCTTAATGACCCCTTAAGTGTTAAGAACCTCACCATTTTAATGGCAACTTCAAGCCCTGTCTTTATAGCTCTTGCTCTGTAAACGCAGGCAAATCCACCTTTACCCAGTAGATTGAGCACACGGTAGTCCTACAATAGAAAATGTTTATTAACAATAATAATCATGATATAGGCCTATGTACATTGTACAGAAAACATGACATTAAAAAAGAAACAAGTGTATTCCATATCTTGTTCATAACAAACATTATTTATTGTTATGCAGTAAGTTTACAGGAATGATGGTGTTCATGTTTACAATGTTATTTTAAGAATCTTATTCGTCAGACTCTGACTAAATGTAACGAAAATTTGACAAATTCATTAATTACAATAATCTAACATTGACATTCTTTGCTTTACTCTTGCAAAGTTATTTATAGATGAAGGATGCTTATTTTTTATAAATGGCAATTCAAATCTTGTATGTTGTTTGACAGCTCATGTCGTACTGTATCAGTGTAGATCTATGTTGATGATCCGTATGTTGTCTCAATTATTTTGACAAGTTCCAGTTTATGAGTTTTATCTGGATATCTTATCAGAAACACACACAAATGATCTAAATTGAAATATGTAGCAATATATACAAAAATACTTTCAGTAAAATAAAATAACACTGAAAATATTTCATTTTTTCTTTAACTTGACAACACAACACTAAACAGTCACTAGTTTTCGCGATATAAATATGTAAACATTCACTTACATCAATACTTTCACTCATTTTTACAATTATTTTACATCCTCTGAATCACAAACACAATATTTCTGTCTTCTAAATAACCATCCATTAAAATATATACAAAAACAAAACGTTAATCCCTTCATTGTTTAGAAAATAATCTTCATGTTTGAAATTTCGGCGTACGCGCCTCGACTTGATCGTTAGAAATATTCAGACTGGTTATAACCCGAATTAGCGGAAAGACAACCAATTGACGAAAACATTAGCATTAAGGTTTACGATGCGTTTAATTAAACTTGCTGCGAGCGTTAATTGTTTACGGGCTTGTTTTTGCTTACTTTAAAGTTAAAATAAAAATTACAATTTGTAATTTATTTAAAAATGTTATCTCTTGTTTCTATATAATAACACAGAGCTATAAGTCTATAATTATATTAAAATTATAACCATGCAATTTAATTCCAATTTGAAATTTATTTTTTGTTACATTAAATCTAATTATATTTATGTAAAATATTGGCAATAATTTCAAAATCATTTTAAATGAATCTGTTTTATACATGCAATGTTCTTACGAGATTCTATATTTGGCCAACGTGCAGACTTAATTAGATCTATTCTATTTCAAACATTTATTTCATCACGGGATATATAGTAGGGTGATTTTTTAAACTTCAGTTTCCTGTGTATCTGATTTTCATCTTTTAAAATTATCACCTTATTTTGTCTATGCTACAACTATGGTAATTTCACAGGCTTGTAAAGAAAAAACCTAGCTCAATATAATGCACAATTTTATTGTTACATCTATGAAAAAAATGCTACATACTAGATTTAACATTTTATATTGTACTCGGTACGGAACCAGCTGCAGATTAATTGTGGGAGAGTTATCTATTCAATACATGTTGTCAGTTTCAATTAATTAAAAAAAGTAATTGTTTGACTGTTGTTAAAAAATGGATTTAGGCCTACGTATGCTATGTAAGTAAACAAAAAGGGTAACCCAATAAAGCATACACCTTTAGCATTTCTGATGAAACTTTCACCTCTGCATTCGTTTGCTTAGAGAAATTATATCATATGGAAACTGAGTTTTTTTAAGTCCTGCATATATCATTGTCAGGTTTATACCCATGAACTCCATATATTGATACGCCTATGCTTTTGTTTCCTGATGACTTTTTTTTTTTGCTATTTGCTTGGAACATGTATAAGTATTGTATCAACATTTAATACAATTTTCTGGCACTTAAAGATTATCATGCGTTACTAATTATTTTCAGATACAGCAGATATAATGAAATTGACACGGTTGAGTGCATATAATTCTGTCATTCTTATGTTGAATTTTTTTAAACGAACCATGGATTGTTCCAAATTCAAAGCAAGACAAGTCCATTACAAATTTAAGGGGACGTACAGGACGAAGAAAAAAAAAACATAACAAGGAGAAAATTCCTTGATAAAACAAATTCATTATTGAATACACGTATCGATTATCTTATTGATTTTTTTGTCTTGTGCGATAGCTTTACCGCCTTTTTTATCGATCAATCAATGTTTGCATTTTGATATTCCTGGGTGATGCAATGATAAAATTTACATATTTTATATAACTGAATCAGGGTTTAGAAAGACATTGAATTAAAAAAAAAGAGAGCAACAAAAACAACGAATACAGGCCGATATGGGTTTTTTTAATATTACATACAGACTACAGCCAGACATAAATGTTATTAAAAATAGAAAACAAACACACATATATATAGAAGATATTCAAGTTTTTTCTATAAATACATGATTTATTTTCATCGAGTGACCAGTATGAAAATAAATATTTCATGAGTGGCGGTAGCCACGAGTGAAATATGATAATTTTCATGCCACAAGATGAAAATAAATCATGTATTTATAGAAAAAACTTGAATTTTCTGTTTATTATATACATTTTTCTCTTTTTTGCGATAAAATTTGAAAGACTTTCCATTAAATTTTGTGTACTGGCAGAATTTAAAAGAAAGTAGTCCGGCGAGACACCAGTGAAATACGGAAAATATGTTTCACTGCAGTGAAAAATAAGTTTTTACAGTGAAAATACGGAAAATGAAAATATGCATTTTATTTCATCAATATTTCTCAATATTTCATTTATAAGTATATAATAAATATTTTTATCAGGGTATACATATCCTTACATTGCCGTAAATAAAGAAATAAAGAGAATCAGATATATGAAACGTGAGCATTTACAACAAACATTTGTACGTGGATTAAAACAAGAACCGAGGAGTTAGAAACTTCTAAGTTGCAATCGTTGTCAGAAATATTAAAACTAAAATAACACTCTAGCATAATAAACGACATACAGACTGGTAAAACATATTTACGTCTTGGGTGGCGAATGAAAATGGATATAGATTTTGTAAGAATTGTTTATAAAGTCATATCGAATTCTTACAAATAGATCATGTACCTCAACATTTGACGCAACTCAACATTAACGCTTACCCTGCAGGCGGCAATAGATTCAACACATGCGATCAGTGCCGACCAAGATTAGCCACTCTTCATGGTCTGCACTGTTCGCTTTTCAGTGAAAATTTATTTTGAACTTTTCCCTAAAATGAATATGTTTTTTTTTCCAGATTGAAACCTGGGCAAGTCTATTTAAGATTTTTAGTGTGGTAAAAGTTAGTTATGTAACCAAAATATAAAACATCACTTTTCGTCCAAGATATGTTATGTCTATGTATGAAGGCTAAATACCAAAGCGTGAAGATATCAGTCGTCCACCCGCAGACAGACAGCAGACAGACAGACAGACTGGCGAACAGATAAAATGAAAGATATACACCCACCAACCTATCACTTCGGAGACATACAACATTATATTTTCGTATTGTCAGTTGTCATTTGGCTTACAATTGTAGGTTACTGTTTTCATTTTATCATTTTTACTCATGGTCACGGCAAGGCGCGACTTTTCTTCGCAGTAGCAGAGTGCCATGGGCCTCTGTACGCCGTCGCTTTCAGATATGACGGTTCTCAGATACTGTCCGTCTGCTGACAGTAACATCACGTTGTTCGACTTCCCGCCACAGAGGAACAACCGATTCTTTGGCCCGAGACAAACGCCTACAGGTGCATCCATCTCCTCGTGTTTAAAGACATTTAAGACACGCCCATATTTGGTCATTATGATTAAACCGGTGTCGGCATCAGCGACGTAAATCACGGAACCGTCCTTACTTGTGGTAATCTGATGAGGAAAGCCTATCTGATTAGTGATAGTTTTCAGAAAGTTGCTCTCAAACGAGGTTTCTGTCTCTTTCCTCTGGTAGTGTTGAATTATCTGGTAAACGGCAACATAACCCGGACCCTCGTTGCCTTCCGACCATCCGCCGCATGTCACATACATGAGACCGTCGTTGTACGCAATCCCGCGACATGGTTTCCCGACGTGTAAATCATGGGTTACTTTCAGGGTGCTGGTTGCTACGGCTTTTACGTTCATTTTGTTCCATAAACTAACAAGTACCGTACTGTGGTCCATGTAGCAAACCCCTAAAGGAGGTCCAGGTAGTTCCCGCGACTGCACAATAAATCCACCCAGTTCTTTCTTAATTGTCTCATTCTTAAAGTCGGTTAAAATAATTGACCCATCATGCAACGCGCATGTACTCGATACATCGCTGATAGATTTTTCTTTCGTAGCATGAATGGAGCATTCGCCAAGTGTAGCTGGTGACCCGGTGAAATAGTTTTCAAATACTTCACCCATCGTTTTTAACTCGTCTAAGACCGTATATAGTTTTAGATTTGGATTGAATTCAATTGTTCTTGGACGCTTTGAATTCAACATCTTTTCCAAGGATAACCCTCGTCTCTCGCAACATGTAGTTATTTTCAGTTGTACGAACAAAGAGGACACATTAGAACCTTTCTTTTGCTCCTCTAGTAAGTTTACTTCGTTCTTTAACGAGCTAATCGTCTCTTCAAGTTTGTTGATATCATTTGAAATCTCCTCTGCTGAAGAGTTTACAGTGCTGTCCAAAGCGAATACCAGCTGTGACTCTATGTCAGCAAAGTGCTGGATCACCATTTCCTTAATCATTCTAATCTGTTGAAGAATGGATTCTTTCTCCTCATGAACTCTTGTTGTGTCTTGACGTTTCCCCGGTATAAGGGCACCGAGACGTGTTTGAAGTTGATTTATTCTTTCTTTGATAGCGGCAATATCGTTATCGGTGCAATGTGTAAACTTAGCAGCGGCTTGTGGCAAGTACGTCATACCCTTACAGTGGCTGTAAAAGAGAAGCACATGCATATTTGTTAGAGAAGTGGTGATTCTCGGATTCAGCCATATTTGTATGACAGAAATTACATTACAAAATTGACTAAAAGCCTGATCGTTCTTTGCCCGGAAAATTCCCTTTTCCCCCTTTGGATTAAAACTAGGGATTTTACCCATAAGAATAAAATAAAAAAATATACTTTGAAAATACAAAGTGTGAAGTTTTTTTCTACATGTGTATTTGGGATTTAGTTTTTCTATTTGTTATATGTTTAAAGAATAAAAAAAATTACACACCAAAGTAATTATAACAGACATGTAGTAACATACCTATGGATAACTGCAACACAAGCCACGCAGCAGACCTCGTCATGGTCCCCACAGTACATGTCTATAAGTTTACCATGATGTGTGGCGCATCTCTGGGTTGGAAGTTCAAATCTCTCTTTGGAAGTGTCGGGCCCGGAACCTGTTTCAACAATCTGATGACATCTCATGGCATCGAACCGGTTATGCTGTTTAAGGCACTCGGTACACAACGGACTGTCACAGTCAATACAGTATTTAACTGCCGAAATTTTCGTGCCTTCTCTGGCGCACGGGATACACGTATGCTTATCCATAGCAAATTACGCGTATTTTTTATATCTAATAAATTATCGAGTGTTTGTCAGGCCTAACTTGTCACCATACCCTGGATTCAAATTTATCAACAACAAAATTATTTACAACTTCTTCAGTGCATAAATATTTAAACTACGTGCATTTTGAATAATCCGAAAATACGAGTTGTAAAGTCAAGAACAACCTTTGAGCGATCCAATCTTTTGAGCGATCCAATCTAAAGTTAAATATGAACAAACAAATGCTTTTCAAACTTCCTTTTTTCTTAAATAACTTTATCTCATAGTCTATACATTTTGGCTGATAATAATCTTATATTTTACTTCCCTATTGCCAAAGTTGCATTATTAAATATCTGCGCCCTTTTCACCAACACAGAATCTCCCTGTAAAACAAGTCAATTTTGCTGTTATTTTTGCTAGACATGTGCATTCGGCAAGTTCATTTTGATGAAACAAACACCTTGCATATTCTTTTTTAAAAATTATTTCGGACTAACACGTAAATTGTTGATAAATCAGTATTTTTTGCAGTATTTAAAGGTAATATCCAGCTTTGCTGGTGAAAGGGGAAGCTGGCCAGATATGAAAGAATCTCATGTCCCCGGTGGGAATCGAACTCACGGCGTTAAAAATGATTACGTACTGTTATGTTTAATGTATTCTGATCAGAGATGTAGATAACAAAATTAGGCATTTTGTAGAAATAAAATCTTAATTGGTGTACATTTGATCATTTTATATGATACACCATTTGAAAGTTAAATCTTTTATCTATTGCTGTATGTTAAAATATTGGTAACTTTCCATGCCTTTCATTTAGAAAAAACATAGCAGAACATACCAACTAAGCCAGTTCTTTTCCTTCGTATAATTAGTTTTGTAACAAAAATTAATAAGTAGTTCTCTTTAAAAATTGATGTATCGTTCATTTAAATGGGAACTGTAAGCAGTCATAGATAAATGCATTGGCTTTCAGAATATGTATTATTTGACTGATTTTGATATCTGGTTAATAAGTTTTACTTGCTTTAGCAAGCACGCGTGATATTTTAACTGGTTAGGAAGTGGCCTGTCTCTGTTATCTATGTCCCTGCTCAGATAGATCATAACATGCATGTTTTAATGTCTCTAAGACAGACTCTCTACTACTATTTATTTCAGACAAAACATAAAGTTGCCAAAAGGAGTAAAATTCTAGAAGACTCGTACGTCTTTTATTCTTTTCCCGTATAGATAAAAAATGTTTGTTGAATGCATGTACGTAATAACCACGATGTGTATACATGTACTAAAAAAATGTAAAATATTTTGAAAGACATTTATATAATTCATCTTTGCGGTTTTATACATGTATTTTTCTTTTTCTATAAAACATTGCATCATTCGCCATCTTGTTTTTTTTCTTAAACGAAACTCTAATTGATTATACTTATTTAACATTCAGCAAGTTTCATTAGTTTTACTCGATACGTTTATTATATGTATTATATGTATTAATGTAGCAATCTATAACACTGATAAGACAACAATAGTGTTGTTAACACCATTTAAAATATCTCCGCACAAGTCTGAACCTTTACTCCATTATCGATTACAACGCCCTTTCATCCGAACATCTATAATATATTGATTATGAATAGGAACGGAATGTAACTTGATTTTATGCTTCGTCATTACGCGTGCTACTGCCGATGTCATTATTCTGACGTAATAATTCAAGTTAAAGCGGCCTTCAGCTTTTTATGTTTTGTTGGAAAAAACAGATCTGTGCTGATTCAAACTAAGTATTTCAGTAATATAACCAAGAAAAAATGCATCATTTCACTTTTAAACCTTTTCCAAAACAGTGCCCGCGAGTTATTTATATAGTGCGCAGTGACGTTCGTTTCTATAAAAAAAGATTGGGAAACGAATCGTCCGCTTTAGTAATTTACATATAGACTGTGGGCTATCGAGGATTTTCCTTATTGCTTATGTATTTTATCCACAATAAATTTCATTTTATGCCTTAATTCCTTTGATTTGACAATTATATGAAACGAGTTGTCTTAAAATAATGTATTTAACCTTTAGAAAAGCTGAAGGCCGATTTTAGAACGCCAATTCAAGCAAAATTAAACGTTTTGTATATTCCGCGATTGTGGTATTTAATTGGGCCTGATGCAGTTTATTTATTTTCCTTTTAAATAAATATGAACAAACATTTTTTTCTTTTAAATATAACCAAAACATCACCCTTTTGATAATTAGGTGACCTGCGTCAAAAGTGTGACGTAATAATCCGCAGTTCCAGTATTATAACTACATTTTTTAAAATATTTAATCTCAGACATATTATCTCTTTTAAGGGTCATATACCTTTTTTATTTAGACAAATGCCTTGTCCAACAAATATAATTCAAACTTCAAAGTAATATGGCACAACAGGGCATCCTTATTTAGACATAGTTTGATAACTGTATATAATCCATTCAAAACATATTGGATGCTAATCACAATCAATTATAAAAGTGGCAAAAGTAAGTATTTTAATTTCCATACTAAATACTTATAATGCTTATTGCTCCGAAATGGCTTTATTATGCATTATTACAAAATAAGGATTAAAGCACTAATTCTAAAAAACCGCTACCATTTAAATAGCTTAAAATTCAAAATAACAAGTTTTTTTTTAAAAACCTGCTTTTAAATGACACAGCATGGCTTTACACATCAATAGAACTAGCGGTCTCTTGCTGTATCCAGCTTCTTAGGGGGTAACATTTTGAAATATGATCAAAGACTAGAGATCAAGGGTTTTAAAATCAAGAACCAAACAGCATCCCTCAGAAATCACCAAGGGTTTAAACATGTTCCAGCAGGACACAGGGTCTTTCAAATAGATTTAAAAGAGTCCAGCAAGATTCAATGAAATGTTCTACAACACATAGACTGCTGAAAAGCTATATCAAACAAAATGAAAAAAAAAACAAAGAATAAATTTTTCAGCATAATAAATGTAAAATTCGAAAACTAACAGCAACCATGGCTTCTGAATTATCACAATCATGTCCAGGGATGTAACTAGTTTATTATTTATGTACTAGTTGTAACATTTATATCATGTCAATGGAGGTAACTAGATTCATGTTTATATCATGTCAAGGGAGGTAACTAGATTCACATTTATCTCATGTCAAGGGAGGTAACTAGATTCACATTTATATCATGTCAATGGTGGTAACTAGATTAATGTTTATATCATGTCAAGGGAGGTAACTAGATTCACATTTATCTCATGTCAAGGGAGGTAACTAGATTCACATTTATATCATGTCAATGGTGGTAACTAGATTCATGTTTATATCATGTCAAGGGAGGTAACTAGATTCACATTTATATCATGTCAATGGAGGTAACTAGATTCATGTTTATATCATGTCAATGGTGGTAACTAGATTCACATTTATATCATGTCGAGGGACGTAACTAGATTCAAATTTATATCATGTCAATGGAGGCAACTAGATTCACATTCATATCATGTCAAGGGAGGTCACTAGATTCACATTTATATCATGTAAAGGGAGGTAACTAGATTCACATTTATATCATGTAAAGGGACTAACTAGATTCACATTTATATCATGTCAATGGAGGCAACTAGATTCATGTTTATATCATGTCGAGGAAGGTAACTAGATTTACATTTATATCATGTCAATGGAGGCAACTAGATTTACATTTATATCATGTCAATGGAGGCAACTAGATTCATGTTTATATCATGTCAAGGGAGGTAACTAGATTCACATTTATATCATGTCAATGGAGGCAACTAGATTCATGTTTATATCATGTCAATGGTGGTAACTAGATTCATGTTTATATCATGTCGAGGAACATAACTAGATTCATGTTTATATCATGTCAATGGAGGCAACTAGATTCATGTTTATATCATGTCAATGGTGGTTACTAGATTCATGTTTATATCATGTCGAGGAACATAACTAGATTCATGTTTATATCATGTCAATGGAGGCAACTAGATTCATGTTTATATCATGTCAATGGTGGTAACTAGATTCATGTTTATATCATGTCGAGGAAGGTAACTAGATTCATGTTTACCAATCTCAGCAGTATCTCCCATAACATATCTTGCAAATTGAAATCCAATTGTTGATTTAATCATTATTGATACATAGATTAATTAAGCAAACTAGGTAAAAGTTATTAATAAAAACAGGTAGAGAAAATGATGTTAAGATTCATGTAACGTCGAATTCTGATGTTCAATTTCAGACGTTATTCGTCATTGACATTACATTGATCTGCAATGCTTTGCTGATTACATTTAGGTATGACCTGAGAGTTGATTTTATAATCATGCAAGGAGTAAAATTCAAAGTTAATCATGAAGGAGAAACTAGATTCACATTTATTCAATCTCCTACACAGTGATCTCCCTTATCAGTTTACAGGATTCTCGGCCAATACAACATTGAAATATCAGTAGTTTGAATTTAATATTCTAGCTGTTAACAGTCAAGAAACAATTAAAGGGGGTAACAATTACATTTTTTTCCAATTTCCTAACAGTGACTCCCCTTTATAGTACAGAATCTCTGCCATCACAAACATTGAAATATCAGTATTTTGATATTTATAATTTTTAGCTTTTTAATTTATTTTTCATTATTTTGTATACTTTTGATAATTTTTTTGATAAAATATAACGGACATAGGTACAAAAAGTTAAAAATAAAACACAGAAAGAGAAATATGACGTTAGATTTTCTATGTAACGGTCGATATTTACATTTGAATTTCGACGATACGTCATTTGACTTTTATCATCATGTGACATCTGCAAAGGCAGTGATTACAATCTAAAAAGGGAGGTAATCACTGTGAGGAGTTTGATTTATATCATGTCAAGGGAGGTAACTAGATTCAAGTTTACATCATGTCAAGGGAGGTAACTAGATTCACATTTATATCATGTCAAGGGAGGTTACTAGATTCGTCAAGGGAGGTAACTACATTCACATTTATATCATGTCAAGGGAGGTTACTAGATTCAAGTTTATATCATGTCAAGGGAGGTCACAAGATTCACGTTCTGGACAGTGCCACCAGTATATTTCTCCTAAATTGATAATAGATGTTGCAACATATATAATTGTCCACAATTTGATTTTAGTTTGAATAAATAAATATTCATTGCTCACAGTTACAAATATATTAAGAACAAAATATACTTTGAATGTAAAAAGTGATATTTTAATTTTCAATGATCAATATTATAATTATGCATATTTACAATATAAATCAGTTTGATACAAAACACAAAGAGAAATTTACAATAAATTTGAAATTATCACAGCATTTTTCTATGGAAAAATAAAATAAAAATAAATAAATCATGGAGGGAATCGCAAAAATAATCATAATAGCTCTGAGAGGTCCATAATGACAAAAAACGCAACAAAAATGTGTGAGTCTAAATTATGCACTAACTTAATACGCTAAACTGCTAAAAAAAATCATCAGCACAACTTAAAAAAAGTTTATGACATGTAATAACAGTATAATATGGATTTACAGGACAGTCCATAATATGGACTTAAGGACCTGCTGAGATTTCTGAATTAATTAACCCCTGAACATATTTAAACCCAAAAACTAAAAATATTTTGATCAACTTGGGTGTTTTTAGTCATATTGATTTGCCTATGCCACCATAAAAGAACCAGTCTAGCTGGTGGTTATAGTACAGTCTGATCAGACCCAATACTCAATTTTACCATAATAATACTGCAGAACCCCTTTTACTTAAAATTAACAGATCCAAATTCATAGCAGGGCTATTCCATTATAAGGGTGAAGGTAAAATCTCCCCTAAGTTTGGACAACTCAAATCAAACAAATAAGTTTTATGTTGCAAAAATGTTGTTGTAGTATAAACACAAATTAATTGCATTATTGCAGGTAAGTATTTCATATCTAAAGTTTCAAGTTTTTGCACATGTAAATAACAGTACTTGTATTAAAAAAATTCTTCCAATATAAAAAACTGCCATTTACTAAGTCTAGCAAATAACACAACCTTTTTTTTATCATCATACAACTTCTATACGTAATAACAGCAGTCACTCACTAAGTGACGATTAAAATATAAATGTGTACATACTTATAAATATCAATATCATGGTAGCACGATTATAATTTCAACCCGGTTATGAAAATGATACTGTCTGAACAGGGAACATTTGGTCACTTTAACTTTTAGTCTTGGTCCAAACACAAGTAAATCTTATGTAAGATAAAAATTTATGTTAAATTATGCATGAGTTATTCCACTCGTGAGAGTACATTTGTATTCCAAAATTGTTTTGACTGTAAAAAATTGGTCTGGATTTTGTTTAAAAATGGACACAAAGAATGTTAAATATTACAAAAGATTTTTTAAAAAAAGAGAAAAGTCAATCAGGTAGTATGTCTTAAGAATGAAAACGACAGAACCCACGTGACTATGACTGCCAGAAACATTATAACAGCAGATAAAGTCCTTGAATTCAGCCATGGATAAACGGGAGTGCTTTGTATATTTATATATGATGATATCTCCGTAACATCGCCTTCGATCAACCAGGTCAGATAAACGCAGCTCCAGTACAGGTACATGTCTAGAAGGAGTAAAGCAAATGCTGCGTGATAAAGTCACTGTAGTACAGAGTCAATCTCCGCGTCCTTGTTACGCTTTCTGAAAACAACAACAACAATAATAATTCAATATTATACTAAAAGATCTAAAAAAAACAAAACAAAAAAACATTAAATTGAATTAACATCAGTGATACAGGGATTCTTGCTTTATTTCATGACATTTTTTTTTCAGGATTGAGTGTACTGGACAGTCGCCTTTAAATATTGTTGTCAACTATTTCGTTGCAACAACACTGCCTACTTAGAACAGTGAAAACTAGAACTATCACTAAATGTGATTAATACCCCCACAAGTCTGCCTCGGAAATGAGGATGTTACTAGTAACCGAATACCTTTTAAAAGAATTGAAACATAGAGTTATGGTTGTGGGCAATTAAAGATAATTATGGTTCATGTATGATGCATTTCCTTTCAATGTGGTTGGCCATTGATGAAGTTTAATTGAATTACTCTGTAATAAGTCCAGAAAGACAAAGAAAAAGAACAAAGGACAATAACTCTATAAATACTGAAGATAGAGTTATAGTTCTTGTGCACTGCACTTCCTCTTATTGTGCTTGACCATTGTATGAAGTTGTTTTGAATTCCAACCAGTACGTTTTAAGTTATGCTCCGGACAAGGAAAAGTATCAAAGGGCAGTAACTCTGTATTTTGTCAAAATAGAGTTATGGCTCTTGTGCACTGCACTTCCTTTAAATGTCCTTGACAACTGTATGAAGTTGTACTGAATTCCAAACAGTAGTTTTCAAGTTATGCTCTGGACAAGGAAAAGTAACAAAGGGCAATAACTCTGTAATTAGTCAAGATGGAGTTATGGTTCTTGTGCACTGCACTTCCCCTTATTGTGCTTGACCATTGTATGAAGTTGTTTTGGATTCCAACCAGTAGTTTTAAAGTCATGCTCTGGACAAGGAAAAGAAACAAAGGGCAGTAACTCTGTAATAAGTCAAAATGGAGTTATGGTTCTTGTGCACTGCACTTCCTCTCAATGTGCTGGACCATTGTATGAAGTTATAATGAATTCCAACAATTAGTCTTCAAGTTATGGTCCGGACAAAATAAAGCAATGGAAAAGTAATAAAGGGCAATTACTCTGTAATTACTTTAGATAGAGTTATGGTTCTTATGCACTGCACTTCCTCTCAATGTGCTTGACCATTGTATGTAGTTATATTGAATTCCAACCATTAGTCTTCAAGTTATGCTTCGGACAAAAAAAAAGCAATGGAAAAGCAACAAAGGGCAATAACTCTGTAATTACTTTAGATAGAGTTATGGTTCTTGTGCACTGCACTTCCCCTTATTGTGTTTGACAATTGTATGAAGTTGTTTTGAATTCCAACCAGTAGTTTTCAAGTTATGCCACGGACAAGGAAAAGAAACAAAGGACAATAACTCTGTAATTAGTCAAGATAGAGTTATGTTTCTTACGCACTGCACTTCCTCTCAATGTGCTTGACAATTGTATGTAGTTATATTGAATTCCAACCATTAGTCTTCAAGTTATGCTCCGGACAAGGAAAATGCAACGGACAAAAAAAAAGCAATGGAAAAGCAACAAAGGGCAATAACTCTGTAATTACTTTAGATAGAGTTATGGTTCTTGTGCACTGCACTTCCCCTTATTGTGTTTGACAATTGTATGAAGTTGTTTTGAATTCCAACCAGTAGTTTTCAAGTTATGCCCCGGACAAGGAAAAGTAACAAAGGGCAATAACTCTGTAATTAGTCAAGATAGAGTTATGGTTCTTATGCACTGCACTTCCTCTCAATGTGCTTGACCATTGTATGTAGTTATATTGAATTCCAACCATTAGTCTTCAAGTTATGCTCCGGACAAGGAAAATGCAACGGACAAAAAAAAAGCAATGGAAAAGCAACAAAGGGCAATAACTCTGTAATTACTTTAGATAGAGTTATGGTTCTTGTGCACTGCACTTCCCCTTATTGTGTTTGACAAATGTATGAAGTTGTTTTGAATTCCAACCAGTAATTTTCAAGTTATGCCCCGGACAAGGAAAAGTAACAAAGGGCAATAACTCTGTAATTAGTCAAGATAGATTTATGGTTCTTGTGCACTGCACTTCCTCTCAATGTGCTTGACCATTGTATGTAGTTATATTGAATTCCATCCATTAGTTTTCAAGTTATGCTCTGGACAAGGAAAATGCAACGGACGTCTGGACCGACCGACCTCCCAACCGACCGACCGACCACCGGGTGACTCCTATATACCCCCCCAAAACTTCGTTTTTGGGGGTATAATATTTCCCAACTTTTAAAGGGGCACACCTCCAATTTAGGATAAAAAACAAATAATAAGAGCTCAGCTGTCTATAGGATTATTAAACAAAAACCTGAATAATGTAGAATTATCAAAGTTCAAAAAGGGTCATAATTCTGTCAAAATCTAAGTTAAGAGTTGTGAACCTTGGAAAGTGCGTCTTTGGTGACCTATTATACTCTCAATCAAGTGTGTTAAGTTTCCACAGATTTCCCTCAGTTGTTTTAGATATACCAATCTGCATGCAAAAACTTATTCAAGGTGTGATGCTGATGCCTGGGTGAGAACAATAGCTCTACCCATTCCTTGAATAGTCGAGCTATAAAATAATCTTCATAACCTTAAACTTTGGAAAAAAATGTTTATAGTTCAAGAATCTTAAGATTTTTACTATCAGGTATAATTCCTAGCCCCAATGTATCATAAAAATAACACCGATTTGTTCCTTTTCATCACAAAACTTCTTCCCTAATATGAAAGAATTAAGTGAAGTTTCTGTATATTATAGTTTTTAAAGAGTTTATTTCATCTTGATTGTGCACGAAGCTATATCACTATAGCTCTAAATAAAGACACACTATGGAATATGTTTCTGCAATCAACCAGTACAAAGCAATGAATGTTAAGTTTTTTTGCTCAAGGAAACAATGGCTTAACCCCGATGGTGTTTGAACCCATGCAGCTACCAATCTTTAGATTACTTGTCGGATGTTTTAACCGCTCAGCCATGCCACCACAAAATATAGATAATTTCTGTAGTAAAACTAGTCTTACGCAATTTTTACACTTTACAACATTTTACTCATTACAAGATTTAAAAAAAAAAAATATTAACAAATCTGGGGGGCTTGCTGGTTTATGTACTACTTCACTAAAATTTAAACAAAATTAAAACAAAATTACAAAACTTCTAACAAAAACCAACTTTTTTGATGATTTTGGTCTCGAAGATTTGGGGCGGCCTGATTTTGGTCGTGATGATTTGGATGACTTCTGCTTCATAGCCTGTTGTGCCCCCTCTGCTGTATAGGCAAGGTAGATGTTCGACAAGTCTGGCTCCTGGCCCTATGTGAACAAAACGTATTAGTAACTTTGTTTAGCAATAACATGGGTAATTTTTGGACATATAGTAAAACATTAAGACTTTACAAAAGTTAATAAAACAAAATTGTATCCAGTGTAAAGATGGTATCAATATATCTGACTGCAAATGGCTGCCACAGACACAAAGAGAGGTAACTGTAATGTTTAAAGGCACATTATGCCTCAGAAACGAATACATTTTTACTCCATTAGAAAGGGCACACATTAATTTTATAACTTTTAAATAATGGTTTTAGGGCATTCAAGATGCTTGTTACTTGAAGAAAGGAGCTCTCGATGTAAAATAATTTATCATAAAAAAGCAAAATGTAAACAAATTAATATTTCGATTTTTCATACAAAATACTCTATCACTATAACTGTACTAATTGCTAAAAAGCACAAAAAGCAACAGAAGAAATAGAGTGTTCAGGTAACTGGTAAAGGAGTAACTATTTTGACACTACTTAAGTACAGCAAAAATAAAAAAGTTTTTGAGAAATAAAGATCATGTCTGGGGCGTAATGTGCCTTTAAATGGAATGCAATAAACATTTTTTCACTTTAAAGGTATTTATAAAATCCATATCCTGATAACAGCCACCGAATCTACTAATGCAACAAATGTGGACAAAGATCAGCTGACAAATCACTACTGACTGATCATGGTCTGCACTGTTTGCTATTAAAGCGGCCTTCAGCTTTTCTAACGACTACATATGTTATCATGTCAGATAAATCGTTTCATATATTTGTCAAAACAAAATAATTATGATGGAAAATGAAATCTGCTGACAATAAAATACATAAACAATAAGGAAACCCCTCGATACATCTAATCTACAGCTCTGCTCTCTATATTTAAATAAGTAAAACAGAGGATTCATTTCCCGACCATCTATTTTAAGACATCATCGTCACTGACGCGTTATAAATAGCTCTCGAAAGGCAGTTTTGAAGATGATTTAACAGTGATATGATGCGCTTTTCCAAGATAAAATTACTGAAATACTAAGTTTGAAACAACACAGAATTGTCTATCCAACAGAAAAATAAAAGCTGAAGACCGCTTTAAGTTATTTCATATTGTAGAATATTTCTCTATTCCCTAACAGTTGTGGATGGTTTTGTCATGATTGAAATAATGGAAAAATCCATTGAATATATCTAGAGTAGTAAGGGCCTTAGTAGTGACCGAAGCTTGAAGATTATCTAAACCACTCCTGAACCAGTCCTCTTCCTAAAACTAACTACTTTTGTTGGCAAATGACAAAACTTAGTCTCGACCCCAGTAGCTCTCAAACCCAAGATCCCATTGCTAAGATAATGATCTTTTGATCAATAAAGGTTTAAAAGTGTTATGCAATATATATTATCTGGACTACTTTTTACCTTCTCCTTATCTTTGTCTGGTTGTGGTGTCTGTTTTCTCATATTGTTACCCGTGTATGCAACACATCGTAGCTGCCACTCTCCTATATCATCATTCCATGCCACATGCTGTTCTATCATCTCCTATAATCATAGACATGAGCTGCGTCAAGACAAAACCAACATAATGGGTTTGCGACCAGCATGGGTCCAGACCAGCCTGCGCGTCCGCGCAGTCTGATCAGGATCCATGCATTTCCCTATCAGTTTCTCTACCTGTAATAGGGTTGGTAAGCGAACAGCATGGATCCTGATCAGACTGCGCGGATGCACAGGCTGGTCTGGATCCATGCTGGTCACAAACACACTATATTGGTTTTTCGCGACGCGGCTCACATTATCTTTTAATTTTATCATTCTTTCTTTTTTTAGGTACATAGTTTTACTTCACAGCATCACTGAGTTCCAGCAAGTTTGGAGCCCCTCAGTGAGCTACCCATCATGCATTGTTTCAATTAGCAACATAAACCTGATGGCACACCTGATTAGAGCCAATGACCTTATGTAAGCTAGGTGGATAGCTTCCAAACATTTAATATATTACCTTACATAATAGTATTTATCTAACATTCTTGTGATTTACAACAAGCAAAATAACATTTACCTCATATTCTGGTGATTTACACCTTGCATAATAACATTTACCTGTTGTGACATTCTTGTGATTTACACTGACATAATAAATAACATTTACCTGACATTCTTGTGATTTACACTGACATAATAAATTTCATTTACTTGATATTCTGATGATTTACACCTGACATAATGGATAACATTTACCTGATATTCTGGTGATTTACAGAGACAAAATTAATAACATTTTCTTGATATTCTGATGATTTACACCTGACATAATAAATAACATTTACCTGATATTTTGGTGATTTTCACTGATATAATAAATACTATTACCTGATATTCTGATGATTTACACCTGACATAATAAATAACATTTACCTGATATTCTGGTGATTTACAGAGACAAAATTAATAACATTTTCTTGATATTCTGATGATTTACACCTGACATAATAAATAACATTTACCTGATATTCTGGTGATTTACACTGACATAATAAATACTATTACCAGATATTCTGTTGATTTACACCTGACATAATAAATAACATTTACCTGATATTCTGGAGGTATAAAGTTGTCTATGATGGTCATCTGTAACTTTAATTCTCGTGACAACTGACGTACATTCTCTAACAAACCTTCCATCTCACGTTGATGTTCTTGTTGTAAATCTGCAATCTGAAATAAGCAAAATTCAAATTTTCAAGCGTTTTGTCAGAAGAAATGGAAAACGTGATCTTTTTTTAGGCAGTATGACCATAAAATGCCAAATGTGGCACATTTGCATTAATCTCATGTATTTTTGCCATGAATTAGAGGATACAATTTTTTCATCAATTTAAATGGAATATAGAACATGGTCTTAATTCAAAGATGTAGCAAATCTGAAGGATATTGTTTGTCAATGATAAAGAAGGGGAGCAGTGGCCTAGAGGTTAAGGTGTCTGCCTCTCAACCCAGGGACCATGGGTTCGAGCACAAATTGGATCACAACCATGTTTCTTCAAATAACACCAGTACTGGTTGGTAGCAGGAAACAGACTCAAAAGTGATAAATATAAGTTGCAAGAACTTGTTTCCCAATCGAGCCAAAGATAAAGAATTCAGGAAAATTATCAGATTGTCATCAATATCACAAAAAGCAAACTGTGGAACACATTGTAATATGTAAAACTTTAATTTGACAATGAACGCACATATATGAAAAATAACGCAATGTTAAATTGCTTTAGGCCTTATTCTTAAATTGTATCCAATAAATAATCTGGAATGTTCATTTAAGGCAGCAAATGCCTTTTTGAAGATAGTTCTACTAACTTCAAGAATATACATGTACGCTAAACATAGCAGGTCCTGTTGCATACTAACCTCAGATTTGGCCTGCATAAGCATTGTCCAAACTTTTTTCAGTTTCTTCGTTTTTCCCGTTATTTCTTCCTGCAGACTTGAATATTTCTCCTCAATGTCCAAACGTTCTTGCTACAATGTTAAACATACCTCTATGTTATCAGTGACATAATCCTATAATCATGACCCATATATTATAAAATATTTTTTTATTCAAATCAACCTAAACAGATTACAGAGTTTTCATTATTCTTAAGTTTCGGATTAGCTGTGGCATCATGTGTGAAATCATTCAACATCCTAGTCTTACATCACCCGATTGTCTTTTTTTTCTTACCTCTTTTTCCTGTAGCTTGTTGCGTAACTTTTCCTCTACAACTTTTCTCTCCTGTAATTCGAGGGCACTTTCCTCCAGCAATCTTTCTTGTTCCTCCGCTTTCTCCAACAAATTTTCCCCACCCACTATAATCTTTTTCTCAATGGCTGCCAACTTCTGTGCCAGAGCATCTTGCTCCTCCCTATAAAATATATGAGCCGTGTCACGACAAAACCAACATTGTGCTTTTGCGACCAGTATGGATCCAGACCAGCCTGCGCATCCGCGCAGTCTGATCAGGATCCATGCTGTTCGCTTACAAACCCTATAACAAGTAGAGAAACTGATAGCGAACAGCATGGATCCTGATCAGACTGCGCGGAAGCGCAGGCTGGTCTGGATCCATGCTGGTCGCAAAAGCACTATGTTGGTTTTGTCGTGACACGGCTCATATAATATTCTTTACCCTAAATCAGCTAACTTTTATGCAACGGTCTTTTGCCCAGATTTGAATTTTGGTACAGTCCATTCAAAATTTAATGGATTTCATTATCAAAATATAAAAATTGAGCTTCCCAAATCAAGCAGCCAGGTCAGACAGTACTGAAATGCTTGTAGCCTGGCATATAAATATAATACAGATAACACACAAACAGAATTGCCAGTTAAGACATACAATGTATACTTTCATGCAATAGTAGCACTAATGCACCTAACTTTCATGCATTTACATCTGCAAAAAAAACCCTCACCCTCGAGCTTCTGCAGATGTTAATGCATGAAAAAATGGTGCATTAAACCTCTATTGCTAAATAATTCTCAAAACATAGACATACTGATATTTTTTCAGTTCAGTTTCTTTTTCTAGGAGATCATCTTTTACTTTGTTCTTTTCCTCCTCAGCCATATCTTTTTGTTCTTCTAATTTTCGACGGTCTGCTGCAATTTTGGCCTGAATTTCTGCCATCTTTTCCTTTGAGATATGCTTTCCTGAAAAAAATCACAGAATTAAGGTCACACTACAAAAGATGATCATTTTAACATTCCATTGAGTTGTAATAATTTAACGCTATAGAAAAAAATCGTCTGAGCCTGAAATAAACCTAAAGGGTTCGGTTCATGTGGCCTGAAAAAAAAAAAAGACTTTCGCATAGACTGTAATGGGAACCAATAGGAATCAGCTTTTTATTTCTTTATTGCTTTTCTAGTAAGTATTATATTTATTTTTTAAAATATTTAAAGGGGAAAATAGTTTAAATAATGTGTTGGAAATGCCTTGATTCATGTAACATCTTATTAAAAAATGTTTTATAGTTTAACAATTTTGTCAACTACAATTTCACAACTGTTAATATTCATTACACAAAGGGAAAATAAAAGAGCATTAGAGGCCCCAGTCATTATGACCCTTCGAAAAAGATACAAAATTTGAAGTGAAATATACAGAACAGAAAAAAGGACTGGACACAATCAAATGACATTTTTTGGAGTGAAATATAAAGAACAGAAAAGGGAATATACACATTTTGTTGCCTCAGCAAGACAGTTTTTTTCTTCTTTAATTAAAATTACAATGGTTATTTTCCTTACCAGTAATTAGCAAGATGAAAAAGAAATCTTAGTACAAACATAATGTTAAAATGACTATAAGAAATACAGAATGATAATAAAAGGAAAACATAAGGAAAACATAAGCTTCAAAGCAAATAACTAAGTAAAATAGAGGTAAAAAATAGATGTTTTACAACTGCTCCTACATTCAACAAACAGAGTGACAGACAGGCAAAGGCAAATATTTTGCCCCCCCCCCCCCCCCTCACCTCTACCCTGAAGTAGTGAAGGCATTAAAAATATTTCAAAGTTGTTCAATCTCCATGCATGGTGAAAAGAATATTCACTCTCTACAAATGTGAAGCATCAAATGGTGCCAGTTGGATGTACATGAATATTACAGCTGAAAGCTTCACGCCAGAAGAGCAAAACTATTTTCAATAAAATCAAACCTAAGAGAAATGCACTAAGATTGTAAGAAAAGTAAAAAGATTCTTATTTCTATTAATATTTACATGTTATGTGCGATTAATGACCGACTTTTCAGTATTTATAACTATATTTCTACTGCGTTACTAATGCAGTAAGGGCTATTTTGCATTTTTGACCTGTTTTTGGCAAGTGTGTAAATTGCATTCTTTTAGTAACTTTACAGTATTATACTTTTAAACACATTTTTAAATTTTCATGATAATTAGCATGAATGTGGAGGTGTGCTGCTTTAAAGTGAGCATCAAAGTATTGTTTCTAATCATACATGTACATGGTTATTTCTTCTTTTTTCTTTTCTTTTTTTTTTTGGCTGGTTTTAACAATTCACCAAGAATGTAAAGGTCATAAGGCGACTTTCAAGCTTTACTAGTGAAGGTTTATCTCAGGTGCCACTCTGTACATTATTTCAGGCACCCAAGTAGAACAATTGACATTCCAAAGTCCCTGGCTAGATTCCAACCCACAGCAGTGAGGGGCAAGTGGTTTGAAGTCAAACAGATGAACGTATCTCTTCTTTAAACACATAACAAATCTCTACAGGTTTTATACAATTTTTGAGCTGGCTAAAGATCAAAATAAGTATGCTATACAGTTTACAAAAAATATATATGTAAGAAAAAGTAAAAATCTATGTTGTACATCCAACTGTCACCTTTTCACCTCAGGCATCGCAGAAATAAACAGGAAAGTGTGATAATAGACAGAAAAAAAACACAACAATAAAACAACAACAAATATTATATCTACCATCTACTATATGTCCAAAGTTGAAGGAATAAAACAAAAAGAACCGTCTTATGATTTTCAATAAATTATACACTAATTTTATATAAAGGTGTAACACACTATATATTCATCATGTATGGTTTACCTCAATTTTAAAGCCACAATTCAGTTCATGGTATAACAAGTGACCCTTATCTTACAATACAGTACAGCATACAGTAATGTATTTTCCTTATCACCAATCCAAGGAGGTATTTGTCACTGGACTTGGACGAGTTTTCAAGAAATCTTAACTTGCCACTGGTGGTATAAACCGGGTATAAAAAATCTTTCTGTCAAATATTTTGAAGAGGGACTTTTTTGTTGGGTTTTACGTGTCAATAACACAGTAGAAGGTTATATGGTGACTTTCCAGCTTTACCATGGAGGAAGGCCTTAAATGCCACAACATGCATGAATCATACACTAATGGGCACCTGAGTAGACCCACCAACGCTCTGTAAGCTAGTTGGATAGCTTCATCACAATCATGAAAGAATCCATTTGAAAGGTGATCGTCTTAGTTTTAAGTCTTAACCATGCTAGATATCTTAAATGGACTTGTCTTTCTTTCAAAAGCAGATTAGAATATGTACTGAATGCATACTAAACAGTGCAGACCATAATCAGACAGCACATATGTGCGGCCTGATCTTGGCCCGCACTGATTGCCTAGGTAGAATCGATTCAGTTGCAATTATCAGGCTAAGGGCAAAAGCACAATTACAGTTTTAAAAATATGGAAACTAGGTACTAATCATGCAATAAAGTATAAATTTGGCCTGATTTTTTTTCCCTCACTGATAGGTCCATCTGATTTTATGCAGATATATACTGTGACACATATTGTTTATTGAGCCCAGTAATGCTGTATGTACAGTATCACAAATTAATTGTATCGTTACACCCTTATTTCAAGTAAAAAAAAAATGTTTATCACACACCCGTGCCAATTTTGCGACTCCGTAAATATGGTATTGCACGGCCGTGCATATATTTTGACGTGACGTCATTAGCGTTATACAAACATAGTGTAAAGACGCGCTAAATGTTAGCGTTATACTATAGGCGCTAAATGTTAGCGTTATACTATAGGCGCATCAATGAAAAATTACTCTTATTTCACTTTAAACGGTCTTTATTTTGGGTATGTGATAAATAGAATATTAAATTCGTGTAAGTTCATTACTGAATTTATTGCACTCGTTGAATAAACTAATATTATGCTCGCATAATATAATTTTATTCAACTCGTGCAATAAATTCAGTATTGAACTTACACTCATTCAATATCCTCTATTTATCAAGGTATTTATATATTTCATATTTAAAACTTAACATACTAATCTATATACAGTAAACTCCACTTATAAAGATATCGTTTATAATGATATACTGTTTATAATGATGCTATTGCTGTGGTCCCGAATCTTGTTTTTTTTGTTTTTTTTTTCATATTTGTTGCCCCTACCATATAATGATATTCGGATAAAACGATATAAATTTCGGCAGTCCCCTGAATACTTTAAAAAGAATATTTTAAAACTGTAGTAAAAAACCTTTTTCCGGGACCCATCCCAAATCAAAAAGGGCCCACAATACGTTTTTAAAAACAAAATAACAATGAAAATCTTTTTAATCGCAGCTAACTTTTCAACGAGTTTTTCAAGTTTTAATTTAAATAAGAAACTGTTTTTTTGTTTTCTTTTTTTACCCCTTTTTTCTAAACAGTTTTTTTTCATTTCCATATGGGCGGGTATTTTTCCCTAACCAAAATGGGTTCCTGGAAAGTAAAAAACCAGTGGGGGGGCCCTCCCTTCCTCCGCGCTAAAACCTACCAAAGCATCTCCCGGGGATCGAAACCCACGCCAGGAAGAGGGTTAACTGGAAATTAAGAAAGTCCATCGATCTAAACCCCTCGACCACAGAGGCGGTTGATGATAAGTACTGAACATGAAAAGTGTTTACAAGTATAAAGTGACAACCAAAAACCATACAGTGACTCATTTCGTAGGATTGTTAGTAATTTAATTTTTTTTGGTAAAAATGCATCAGATTCAAAATAATATCCCATTCACAACCAGACAACTGGTTCTTTACGATGCGATGTGAAAAGAATAAACACCAGATATCTACTTTTACAGTTTCATCCAAAAGACTGTTAGTAATCTTTATTGTAGTAGCGGGAGATCAGACGAGCCATTTCAGAATTTTTACGCTCCACCGGAACACTGCGTCAACTGTGTCGACTCTCTGATAAGTATAACTAGCTAGTTGTGCTATATATAGGTATCAAGCAAAGGTGCACAAGGGGATAAACAAAATATAATCCTACCTGACTGATCTCCTGTTATCATTATACAATGTTCAATAACAAAATGGTTATATACATATGTTACATTAATTATAAGTAAACAGTGTGTGACTTTTGTTAACTAAATGAATATAAATATTGCCAAACTTTGAAAAACTTGTAAAGAAAAAAAAATTTGATAATATTACATTTCTTTTTATCATTAATATAATGCAAGAAGTTTCCAATCTTTTTTGTCTGTATGGCTTGGGTTTCAGGGCAACCTATCATTTCAGGCATTATTGGTGGAGGAATACCGTATACTATCGAAGCCTTAGATTCTAGTCATTAAACAAATAATGTTTTCATTGAATATTAACTTCTTTTTCTTCATAAGGACTTTGTCACTTTAATTTTTTTTAAAAGTTAATATCACAACTTCTGGTTGAGTGAGGAATGAGAAACAAAGGAACCCACCCTAGATAATATAAATGAAAATGACAATTTGGCGGTCCCATGTCTTATTTTAATGTTTTTCAAAGTTTGGCTCACTCTGATTAAATATGTTTTATATACAAGTACAAAAATGATATAATTTTCTACTAGCGATTTTTCAGCTAATCTTGTGGAAGAAAACTCTTTGTCATAAGAGACTGAAATTTATTAATACAAAAAAATTTCTAAAAACTTTGCACTAAATATGTAACTTAAATAAAGATACAATAAAGACTTAAACTAGTTTCCTAAAAAGCAGTTTACAAATACATCATAACATGTATAATATATATCTCTCTAATGCAGGCGCAATAACTTTAAACATTGGTGTAAGAAGTGTAAGTGATCAAGAACTAAGCACTCATTTGATAAGAAATTTTTTTCTTCTTTTTGAGTCAAATAAACTGACCTTTTCATTATAACTATGTACTAAATATTCCTATTTTGTATTACATGATACAAAAAGTGCTCTATATGGCTTTTTTAACCCATTTTAAATTTTTTTAATGAATATAAAAAGTAACGTTTCCTTATATAAGAATTTACATCAATTATGATATATGTATATTATAAGTATACCCTACCAATCATTGAATACTACAAGCCTAAGTAAGGTACATCAGATAGGAAAAATTTGGTAATCAATATATGAATGCTATGTCATACAACTACCTACTTCAATGAAAATATCTGGTATTTCTCACAAAATAAATACAAAACCTTTCTTTGTCTTCTTCTTTTTTTCTTTTGACCTTCACACCATTCTTCAAATTTTATAAATTCCTTCTCCTCAACTCTCTTCCTCTGACCCCTTCACTGTCTGTCAACTCCTAAAAATTACAAATATGAAAATCAAGTATGTTATTCTGACCCTTCACTGTCCCTCACCCTAAAAACACAAATATGAAAATCAATATGTTATTCCTGACCCCTCAATGTTGATTTCCCGTCACTTACTTCTACTATCAAATATGGGGGGAAAAAAAAAAAATCAAATTAATTTTTTTTGGGTTTTTATTATGACCCCTTCAAATGTCCGTTTCAACTCAAAAAAACATATGAAAAATCAAATATGGCTATTCTGAAAACCCCTCAATACTATCCTGTCAATCCTCAAAATGTAACAAGTATGCAAAATCAATATGTATTTCTGACCCTCACTGTCCCGTCACTTTAGAAAAGGGCAAATATTTAAAAAAACAATTTTGTTATTAATTTACATTTTCAGTGAATTCACTTAAAATTTTTTGGGGATGAAAAAATTTTTTGTTTTTTTTTTTTCCCAAAAAAGGGGATTTTCAGGGTTTAAAAAAATTTTTGGGGTTTTTCCCCTTTTTTTTCAAAGTAATGTTTATGCCAAAATTTTAATTTTCAGCCCAAAAATTTTGGGTCTTTTAAATTTTTTGGGGTTTACCACGAAAAAATAGTGCCCTTTAAAAAATAAAAAATGATTTTGGGAAAACATTATGGTATTTACCCTTTTTCCCAACCTTTTTTTGAGTTCCTCTAACTCTTTTTTGGAACTGTCTCAGTTTTAAAACATTTTAGGATCTTCATTTACTTTTGCTTTGTTTTTGGATATTTTTTTTGCTCTTTTTTGCATAACGTAATTTTAAATGATTTTACTCGGGCGTTTTGGGTTTTAGTCCGCTTTGGGCCGTGTTTTGGGTATCTGTAATAAACCCAAAGGGTTTTATCATTTTAATTATAGAGATTAAAAATTTTTTTTTTGTGTTTAATTTTAAAAAAAGATTTATCCACTGAATTTTAAAAATTTTTCAAAAGTGGTTTTAAATTTACAAGTATAAGCAAACCATTTCCCCCTCAGGGGGTAAGGGATTTGATTGGTTAAAAAACCCAAATTTTAGGGGGAAAAAACCCAAAAAAAGTTTTTTTTTATTATTCTATGAAATTTAAATAAATTTCCCCAGAAAAAAAAGAAAAACACCATTTGGGGGAAATTAAAATTTGTCCCCCTGTTACAAATTATGTTCATTGTCCACACATATGATTGTGTTAAATTGGAAATTCCCCAAACATCTATGTGTACTAGCAATGTTCAAAAGTCTGTAAGTTCAAAATTAAAATCTTAAATAGTGTTCAATCTTCATTCACAATCATGTACTTCCATACATTACTGACATTTTTTGGGGCAATGTTTCACATCAATTTATGTAAGACTTCCCTACAGTTCATATATGTAACTTACTTCAGTTCATATATGTAACTTACCAAAGAAAACAAACCACACCCCAATTTTTTTTTTTTAATTTTAGCCAAAGCTAAAAATTTCAGAAAAAAGGTGGGCATTTAAAATAAAACCCCTCTTTAATAACCTTCTAATATTGACATTAAAAATTTTTTTTACTTTTATTCGAAAACCCCCTGCTTTTAAAAATCCCTTTACAAATTTTAAAATTTCCCCTTTTCAAATTTTTGAGTTCCCCCCGAGTGAATCTTGCAGCAGAAAAGGGGTAGTTTAGGTTTTGTATGGTATATTGGGCTGGGTCTTTGCCCCACTAGAGCCAGATCACATTTAAACCCCCGTAGAATTTAAAACAGGTTAATCTTTTGTAGCTTCCCTTTAAACGCTGTCCCTGTCGCCCCAGTCCTTCCGGCCCTGCCCATTTCTGCAAAAACCCTGAAAAATTCAGCCCCCGAGTAAAATACTACGCCACAACAAACAACTACCCACACACTTTTTAAAAAACCACATAGCACAAATGACAACACAATAACACACAATGGGTTATGCAATGGCTTTACTAGAATGAATACATCTGGAAAATCTCGTACATGAGGTGTTTTTTTTAAACAGTTACAACATGGAAATAGGTAAAGTTTCATTTTTAAAATAAAATAATTCTATGAGATATACGAGCGCTGAGCGAGATAGGGACATTCTTGCAAATCCAAAGTCGGATTTTTGTGCATTTAAGAAATAACAAGGGTAAGAAATAGTCTTAACAAATTTGTTTATTACTATGAATATATTACGATGATAAAATTAAACTGGGAAAAACCTTTATATAAAAGAGACATTTTAAGTTTATTGTACAGTAAAAATTTGAATAAACAATCCTTTTCTATTATTTTCCAATTTTTTAACAAAACTTTGGTTTAAAATTCTTTCTCTTCAAACATTTTTCAAAATAACAATTTTGTTATTTTTTAACAATTCCATGTATTAAATATTAAAGTGAAAGTTTATTTAATTTTTTTAAAAATTTTTTGAAGGTTTTTTTTGAAGTATGGGAAAAATTTTTTCAGCTTTTACATTTTTTATTAAAAAACCTTTTGCAGCCCGGGGGTATTGTTTTTTCCCTTAAAAAAAAAGTTGATTTTTATTTTTTTATCAAATTTTCATTTAAAATGTTTTTAAACATTTTTTTTATTCAGGGGGTGCCACAAATTTTTGAAAAAATGAGGTTTTTTACAAATATTGTAAAATTTTAAAAAAAAAAACTTTTAAAACACCCTTTTAAAATGTTTTATTCTGGGGTTTTAAAAAAAACCCCTTTTTCCCCCTAAGAAATACAAAAGGGGACGGTTTTGGAAAATTACATCCTATCCCCTTCACAAAAAAATTATGGTTTAAAAAAAAAGACCAAAATAAAAAACCCCAAAACAAGGGAAAAAAATTTTAAACAGTAAATGAAGACCAAACCCCAAAATTTGCCAGGGGCAAAATTTTAAAATAAACGAAAAATTTAATTTATTAAATTAAAAAAAGAAATTTTAAAAAAATAGCTGCCAGTTTTTAAAAAATTTTCTTAAACCCCCAAAAACACTGCCTTTTTTTATTTTTCCATTTAAAACCTTTTTTTATTTTTTTAAAAAAAACAACTTCCAAAAAGGGGATCTATTTACCAAAACCCAAACCCAACGTTTTTTCACTTTTCTGCTAAATTTTCCCTAAAATTTTAAACTTTCCCCCCAAATTCAAAATGCTTTTTTACCAACTAAAAGCCTTTTTCAAGCATTCCCATTGAAAAATTTTTATAAAGAAACGTGTTTTACCTTTGAAAACTGGGGGCTGATTTCAAAAGTTTGGGGGCCCGGTCACCCCTTTAAAAAATCCACAAATTTCCCAGTGAAATATTTCAACCAAAAAACCCATATGGCTGAAAAACCCCCTCTCCGAAAACCCCTGCAAAAATGGCCAAAATTTTTTTTTGTTATTTTCAAAGGGGGGAATTTGTTCTGGCCCCTTTTAAAAAAGGTTCCTACAAAACCATTTTGAAAGATATTTTTTCATACACATTTATCAAAAATTAAAGCGGAAATAGGGTTTTTTGTAAAAAAACCCCAAAATTTTTTACAGACGGGACTTTTCCAACTCCAAAAAAAGTAAAAATTAAAAATTTCCTATCCCATAAATGCTTTTGTTTCAGTTGAATCTTGTAAAGGGTTGGGGGAAATGGGGGGGTTGGGTTGATCCTGGTTTTTGAAACAGACAGCCTTTAAAAAAATTTTAAAAATCCATGGGTTATATCAAAACCTTTCCCCGCTAAATCAAATTTAAATGAAATTTTTCCCCAACTCGGACATGGTTTGCT